GCAACCTCGTAAATCGCGACGAGAGAGGCAAGCATACGGAAAGAGAAGGAGAAAAACTGGTGCTTGGCAAAAGACAGACAGCGGAGAACAAACAGAAGACAAGTTAAAGATGGAGGAGAAGGCTGATAAAACGGTGAAACGATTGATAGAAATTGGAAGAAAGAAGAATACGTGCATTGGCAGTTGTAAGCATCAGGGAACAATATTTCGTACAAATTTCATTCTTTTAATTACTTCTACTTTCTAGTTATTTTATCATTAAAAAATGTGCTTTTTCGTATATTATAGTCTTTTATTTTATAATTGCCTTTCGTTAGAAATCTCTCCCTTTGTATCTTATCATTTAAAACGAAGCAAAGCTTGTTAGAGTTTGTCAATAAAACTATAGTGTTTTAATACGTACTACGTCAGCGATGTGTACTTCCATCTACAAACCCGTTTGATCGTTTTAAACACAAGTTTTGATAAAATACATTTTTTAGTAAAAACCGCAGCTCGCAGACATAGCATAGCGTTAACTTGATCCTTGGAGAAAATGGAGATTCGTAGGATCTGGAGGAACAACCGGTGGAGGTGCATTGTAAGAGCGAAGAGAGCAGGATGAAGGAAGAAACTATGCCCTGGACCGCTGTTTTAAAATGTTCCCCGCGATGAAATAAATTGGCGTCGGCATGTTTACACGTTGGAGGCATTCTAGGTAAAAATTCGTGGAGTGTAGCAAAGCGGAACAGAAAAGGTGGATGGTGAACCGGAAAAAAAGGGTTAGGAGCCGGCTGATGTCGAGCAGCGGCGGCAACCGGGTTCCGAACCGGGCTAAGTTGTGTTTAATTAATGACCGGACTAATTAAAAGCCCAAAGAAAAATACAGCCACGCGCCGGCCAACCGACCCCTAACGCCGTCGACGTAAGAGGTCTCTAAAATACTCGTTCCAGGCTCATTCATAAAGGTAAATCGTAGGTGGTAATTGAAAGAAATGATAAAACGCGTATTGCCTCCTGACTAATAACTTTTTCGTTCGCCATCTTCCTACATTCGTTCTTTGTACCTTCAGACAGAGGATAATTGATTTTTGATCATAATTAATTTTTAAACGAATATGGATGCGAATGTGAATGTGAATAATTCTCTTCGATAATTGGATTTCTAATAAAAAAAATAGTACGTGTTAAAAGTGTGAAGAATCTTTCGAGGAAAATATCTCTGGTCCAGTGTAAAAGAATGAAACAACAAATATTAAAGTTTCAAAGGGAAATGGCAACAGAAGTAATATTCTGTGTCTTTCTGGATAAAAGTTGCTTTCCATTTGTTGATCTTTCTTCAATAATGTACCGAAAGATTGCGAGACCAAGAAAACCCAGAAGAGAATCCCTTACAGCTTCCTTCAAGCTGTCTTTACATACATAAAAGAACTTTCTTCTTTGTTTTCGCCTTTTCGCCAGATCTTTTAACAAAATTAATATCTCCGACTGCAATAAAAACGGCTGATTATATTTCACGCTTTTTTCTTATTTACGCCACTATACGAACACGTCACATGATAAACATATTTAACTACATGTTCATAACCAGAAACATTAAAACAAATATAACAATCGTTCGTTGTTTCGATAAAAAAATATACCATCGTGTGTATTGTTAAATTTAAAGGAAACACTTGTCACCGTAATTTTTGTAGTGCGCTCAACACGTGTCCGAACATATTTCTGGTTACATGATAGGTCGAGCTCACAAAACTGCCGATCCTGTGAGAAATACCTTCTGTTACTGTGCTGAAAGTCTGTGAAATAAATCGTTCGCCTTTATAAGAAACCCTTCGACATCGAGGAAAACCTTCGCTATTAATCTACGATCTCAACATCTAAAGTACCAATCGACTACGTGTCACCGTTTTTATTACATAATAAATTACCAAGACATAATCCGTCACACTTACTTCCTTTCAACAGCGGACGAAGGATTTCACAGGGCCGTTAGTCCAAAAACATTGAGCACGTCGAAGATCGACCAGATTGCCAACAAACCAAAGAATATCTTCATTTCGTTTTGCATATTGACCGGTATTCTTAGTACACCCTCTATAGGATGTACATATATAGATAGAAGATACGAATATTATATTAAAATTCTTTCAGGCTATTCAAATATCTACTTTGAATTATTTAAAGGAGAAAAATCAACGTTGGAATTTAGCCTGAATATGGAAGTTAATTGTTCGCAGTCTTTTATTTCAAAATCCAAACTCCACAAATCGCTTGATCCCTTCCCCTCCTAGATAAATGTGTGAGACTATTATATAATAATTTCAATCGTTCTTCAAATATTGAAATATCTCGCTCGCGTAAACTATGGATCCAGGCAAACGTTGACCCACTACGCGCGCGTTTGTTGCGATTTAAATATCTGTATGTGTTCACGCTTATCAATTCCAAATGAAAATTTCTCGCTGCCATGCACGCGATCAACATTGAAACATATATATATATATATATACATATACATATACATATGTATAAAAAAAGCGGTGAATCGTTTTTATTTGCTGTATTCGTATTCATGCTGTCCGTGATACGTACAAAAGTTTTAAACGTCGAGTATCAATTTTATCAAATAATCCATCTACCCCTTTAGTTGCACAATCGCAAGCCCGTTCACAAATGGGCAAACACGCGTCAGCCATAAACGTATGAATAGTATGCAAAGCAAACATCGATTGCCACAAACGTATACCGCGTCTCGCACACTGCTCAATACGAGCATTCTGCCAATATTCGACGTCGACGATTGCAAACCAGCTAATTAAATAATTAATTGTTATCGTATTAGACAGACCAATGTGATTGGACCATTATTACACGCAGATTCTGCGATCCTTGCTTTATATTAAAATACGATTTCGTTCTTATCTAATTTTTCTCGTTAATTACGTACAATATTATAAATAGAAAAACTTCGCAGCATCGCACGCGCTAGAAGATGAGTAAGAATTTTTCAATATTGCAAATCTTGATCGTGAACAGTAGATAATACTAAATAGACTTGGAATTAGCAATGCTAGATTTACACATTCACATCTAATCTTCTAATATGACTCACCAACGTATGATGTTTTTAATTGCTAAAATACTGTTCAATTAGAACCTTCTGTTTAGCTATCCTATATTACAGTTTAGTTCTAAATATTAGGTCAAGATAATTTTTGGTGAATAACAAAATTTCAAAATTGTTCTCCTTTTAAAAAATACAATATTTCATAATAATATTTCATAATAAGATCTAATCTCCACGATATTTTCGCTGTTCATTATCGTCGTTAACGTTCACATACGGTTGACTTGATATCCAAAATTTATAGTATCTTACTAATACGAAAATCAAAAAGTTTACATTATTTTAATAACAAATTTTTCACGGCTTCGTCGACTTCGATCACTTTCATTTGCGGATAAATTCAACTACGAAATGTGTTTACCGTTAATAAATTTTTTAATCAGTCCATTGCGGAGAACGCATATTTATAAGGAAGGAAATGGATGCCAGTTTTATAGAACGGTGCACGAAATTGGGAAAAGTCATATCTTTTTTCTGTTTGCTGTTAGAAACAAATGTCAGAGGACAAAAAGGAGGATAGTTCCGGGAGGACTAGTTTTATCTCTTTATCGATTTAGAATCGTATATTTTCGTGTTTACAATAGGAGGTGTATATGCATTACGAAGTTATTAATTATACAGGGTGGTTGGTAACTGGTGGTACAAGCGGAAATGGGGTGATTCTACGCGAAAAAAGAAGTCGAAAATATAGAATAAAAATTTTTTTATTTTTTTTTTAATTTTTCCATCGAGACAACAGTGAGATTCGTTATAACGAGACGCGATAAAGTGCACGCGTACCGAGCGAAAATTCAAAGTCGATTTTCTCAAAAACAAAGCCTCAAACGAAAAATTTTTATTCTATATTTTCGACTTCTTTTTTCGCGTAGAATCACCCCATTTCCGCTTGTACCACCAGTTACCAACCACCCTGTATAATTAATAACTTCGTAATGCATATACACCTCCTATTGTAAACACGAAAATATACGATTCTAAATCGATAAAGAGATAAAACTAGTCCTCCCGGAACTATCCTCCTTTTTGTCCTCTGACATTTGTTTCTAACAGCAAACAGAAAAAAGATATGACTTTTCCCAATTTCGTGCACCGTTCTATAAAACTGGCATCCATTTCCTTCCTTATAAATATGCGTTCTCCGCAATGGACTGATTAAAAAATTTATTAACGGTAAACACATTTCGTAGTTGAATTTATCCGCAAATGAAAGTGATCGAAGTCGACGAAGCCGTGAAATAAAAGTCAACGCGGATTACGGTGCAGAACATCGTCGTAGATAAAAAAAATCTCGACACCGTTTGGAAATTCCTACAGGAAATACGATACATTCGGATCGGACAAAAAAGTTCATGTAGCGGCGAGCCGGAGTCATAAATAACGGAGTTGCGATATAAATAACGAGTCGGTGCTAATTTAGATCCCTGGCCGGATAAAGCCAATATCAAAGGTAGTATTCGTTCTAGAGCCCGGTTGGACCGTTTCAGCGCCACAGCCATCGCGCTTTTGTCGTAGATCAAACAGCACTCTTTTTTTTTTTTTTTTTTGTTTTTTGGTGAATCATCGAAATGTCTTTGCCCGTTTGTGTTACAGCGCTGTTGCTCTGGTAAAACGTTTATCGCGGCGAGATTGCTGCGAAAACACGACGCACAAAAAATATTGCACGTATACCCTATAAAATTGCACTCCTGAAAACTGAAAGTACAATTTACGCGAGATTAGCAGTCGCTTGCCAAGTTGCTAAGGTTTACGAACTACGCATGATATTGAAAAAATTAAAAATATTACGAAATTTATTAAACGAGATAATCACATAAATGATAGAAAATATTTTCTAAAAGAAATTCGCGACAAATACTTTTTCAAGCTATTTATCGACATAAATCGACTTATCTAATTTATTTAAAAATAAAAAGTTTATTCGTTCGAAATGATTACTCCAGATCAACGCATCTAAACTAATCTTTCCAAGGTGTGCAAATTTTCACCGGTGTAAAAGCAATTCTGGTGCTTGTAACGAAGTAACTTTTCGAAGATAACATTTTCTACAATGACGTTCTCTCGTCTCATTTGAGGTGACGTTTTCCATTCTCAGACGAAAGCCAATTTGACGAACACGCTCTCGCTGTTCATCAGATACAGAATCGCTCAATTCTCGATCATTGAACGAGCTTGTAAGTTTACGAAACGAGTGAACGTGCGTGTTGTTTAAGTAGCGATAAAAACATCGCGAATCCAATCCCGGAAAAAACCAGTCGAGGTAAACACCGTGTAGGTGTGGTAATTACACTTATAGTCCTTCACTGGGCTGACGCTAACTATACCACGTAGATACCAGGTTTCCCCCATTTGAAAGAACAGTCCTCCTCCGCTGTCACCTTCGCAGAGACTGGAACCTGCGAATAGAACGATTTATCATGGTTATTGTCAATTGTATTTCCGCTGCTGATAAACATAGCATAGCAATTAGACTGAGTTTCAATGTATTTCCTTTACTAGCGTTTGTACGATACGATGGAAACAAACGTTGAAATACAAATCAACTGTGCGTGTGTACTGCTTAATCGACTTTTTGATTTTGAAGCGTAGAATCACACGGTATATTTATTATGCTCGTTGCAATAGGTTCTTGGAAATTATAAATCACCTATTAAAAAAAAAAAAAGAAAAAACAAAATAAAAAAATAATTATTAAAGTATCAAGTATCTGTATTAATACGATTATAATCTCTGAAGGTATATAAGATCTAATTAAAAATATAGATAAGAATCGTGCAATAGTTGAAAAAAATTAATAAAATTCACCGATTGATAATATAATTCATTCTAAACGTCTACTTACCATTCAAATTACCGGCACAGAACTTGTCCGACGTAATGTATCCCCGGAAATCAGATGGTACAGCCAATAAACATTGATCATACGGTATATACGGCATGCTCACTTCCTGCAGGACCTTACTAGGCGTATCTTCAATCGTTTTGCCCCAGCCAACAGCCTGAAATGAACAACGTCTAAAGCCTGGAACCATTCACGATTCCCAATTAAAAGCACATTACTTTCATAACAAAGCGGACAAAATAAAGAAAGAAAATCGCAGGCAGATGGGAATCAAATTAATTGCTGAAATAGAACGATGTCGCGGCATAACGGGAGTGTGAATTAATTACGGAAATATAATCCAGCGTGACTTAATTAGCCAGCTGAAACCAGTCACGGAAGAGGAAAGGTAGGTAAAAAGGCCGGAAATCTGGCGAGAAAATAGCGTTGCAGCTTGGCTGAAATTAATCAAGGTAATACGTTGCCGTAGCTGGATATTTCTTAATTAATAACCAAGATCTTACCTTTCCGTTTTGGCCAACTTGCAGCTGTTTCCGTTCGTACATATTGTCCCAATCCATGCAGATCGGACGCACCTGAGCGGTTAACTCGAAAGAACTAGTCAATTTCAAAAGGGCTATATCTTGAGCGAAATTCCCTCTCGCCCCTATATATCGTTCCGGTGTCAAAATCTCGGCCAACATCGATTTTTGCTCGTAATTCTCGTCCTCGTTCCAATCGCGATAGTGCTTGCCCGTTGCCACCGCGTACTTCGATTTGTCAAGCACTGTATTGTACACCTCGTCGTAGAAACAGTGGGCAGCTATCGAAACAATGTTTGCCATCCTTTATCCGTGATATGTGCTACTGTGTATATTGCATGAGAGTAGTATTTGGACACTTTCAGATTATTGCAAATATGTAAAATATACACTCTGGTTCAAAGGTACATTTATCATAGAAAACGTCCATATGGTATGCGTTATATGAAATATTTTGAGATACTACTAGCATTATTATGAGACACGATTGTCACAATTACTGTCACAAAAACTATCTGAAAATGCATATGAAAATTACTAGATCCTCGTTGCAAACATATGTGTTTGGTAGGAAATTAACATACAGCGTGAATAGCCATCTCGTTGAATGTCGATGTTTAATAATATATTGGATAATTGTCTGTTTAAATAGTTCCGTGTTCTATGCGAAATGTATAGTTGTACTAAATATCTTGTAATTAAATTGCACACTAATTGCAAATACTTAACGCCAGTGTAGCTGATGGAAAGCACTTTTTTGTGATATCTTTTATTTTATCTGTGAATATGAAATGCAACTGCCAAACATATTCGCGTGATTTCAAAGTAGGAATTTATTTTCTCGAACGAAATTACCTGATACAACTAGATTGTTGCTTATAAGTGTGCCCCCGCAAATTTGCTCGTACTCGTTCGCTGAGTTTTTGCGGTAGATGCCAACATGCCACGGAAATACTCCGAACTTTGCCTCGAATCCGTTCACGACCAACGTGTTACCTTGTGAAATGGGTATTCCACACTCTGACGAAGCAGAATAAATTAAATTAGATCGAATATATTAGACCTTGCTTGAATTAATAACAGTGGAGAAACAAGCAAGGCTAATTCATGAAATGTCTGATTCATATTTCTCATAAAAGATATTTTTTTTTCTTTTTTTAGCGACATGCAATAACATTGGTCGTTTCTATGTCTTCACTTTTCTAAAAATTTAATTTATTTAAAAAAAGAGATCTTTCCAAGTACAAAATGCATTTGGGAAACACTTAACAGTATTTAGCTAGTCTGTTGTTTTTTACAAAATTTATTCAGTCTCAACGACCAAAATTTATCAAGAATGTATTAACTGCTGTTATTAATTTTGCAAACGTACTATTTATGATTACAAGCGTGTAAATTAGTCTTTGCTCTGTTCTAAGAATCAGAGCAGCATGTTGGAAACAAGATACGTAAAATCATCATTACCTGGAAGACAACGGAAAAGACGACGGTCCCATAATCCGTCTTCTAGACAAGTGACTGTACGATACGCTGGGTCATTCGTCACGGACAATTTGTAAGACGACTTGCACGACAAAGTCGCCACCGTTCCAGGTTTAATTCGATCGGTGCAAGACACCTCGTTTCCTTGGTACGAGCATAAAATATTCACCGTGGTACTGTTCAATGGTGGACATATCCCTGTTGCAATGAAATTTTGATGAAAGAGAAATATTGGTGAAATATTAATTTCTAAACAAAAAGATTCTTTCTATTTTTCTCGCTTTTTACTTTAAATTCAATATTTTTTATAAAAAGGTTTGTTCCACTTATACGAAATATTGTTAAATATATCATTTATTAAGTATTATATTATAACGTTATTATTCTGATTATGTTTGAAATGTTATTATTTAAACTATAGTCATGTGATTCTTAATTATGTATATTTTATGCAGAAAAGCTGAGGATAGAAAAACTGCAACGAAGAGGGAATAATCAATAATTCAAATAACACGTTGGATAACACAGTAATTAATCAATTAATTTACGAAATACCAGTGAATTAAATAAATTTAATTCTATTTAGTTAACTATATAGATTTAATTTAAACAAATGGAGCGAATATTCTCGAATTCGAAATCAGTTCAACTAGAATCTATTACTATCATTCGAGTTGAAAATGGTAGAATGGCAAACGGTAGAACCGAGAAATCTTTATGGCTCACGCTCGTTTCTATCGTAATATATTTCATCAAATAGATATTTCTCGAAAAATTTCAGTTTTATACGTGCGTGAAGTATAAATCATAAGATAGATTTAAAAAAATGTCAGGCATGCACCTTGAAATTTTAGCATTTCGTAAGACTAAACCTTTGATGTCGTACAATTATTTCTTTATCTTCCATCGTTTAAATTAGTCCAGTCGCATAGTTAATCGATTCTTTTTACGTTAGCGCTAGATCTCTAACTATTCCAACACAAACACGACAGTAATCATTGTTGCACACGTCTAATATTTAACTATTTGTAAATATCATAACTCGTAATAATTACATGGAAACATGCAATCGTTACATCACTTATACGTTGACATAATATAGATTGAATAAAGCGTGACATAAAACAAGGAACTGCAGCCATCAAAATCAAGCTGGAATTTGTCGGGAAATAAATTCGTCGATAATTCTAAATCGAGATCTCTGAATTTTCTTTTCCATCGACACTGTTTTACTCTTACAGAACTCTCGACGTAAATTACTTTCGCTAATTTAGTAAAATCTGTAATCTAATGAACTTACTGAGACACGAGGGCAGGTTGTACCATTTGTCGTTGAAGCAAACAGGAACGGCACTTCCGTTCAAAATGTAATTGTGCCGACAGGTGTAATTCAGAATGCTGTTACTAGGAACTTTATCTCCGGGACGTTTCGGGCAAGGTTTACCACAGCCACCCAGTTCGTAACTTCCACCTTCGGGTTGTTCGGGAAGGACGCAGCCGTTTCCCGATTTTCTACAATGTCCAGCCACGATAATTAACAGTGTCGTAATTAAACGGACAGCAAATAAGAGAATAATTGAATTCGTTACAGCAGAGTTTTCTTTTGCCGTTTCTTAGTTAGCACGTTGACTGTCACACGCTTTTTATATATTTTTCCCTGGGAATAAAATATACTATACTATGACATTTAATTCTTGCAACATATTATATTGTACTGATGCATTTTTTCTGCGACGATGTTATCTAAGACATTTACATTGTAAAAAGTTTTAGTTCATGAAATTTATATCATAAATAAAAAAAAAGGAAAGTTATTTTAATCATTATCAAAGCTTTAGTAACGTGGGTCATCGACGAGCATCGCGACAATCAACGTGCTGAGTTTCGCTATCTTTGCATTTTTGATAACATTTTCTATGTGAACAGTCGAAAAATGTCGCGTGTAACACGTACTTCTTCTTGGTTCTTAAATATTTTGTCGTGACTTGTATTTATCTTTCATCCGAGTAAATTAACTTACTTGTCACATTCGCGTTCGTCGCTCAAATCGCGACAATCGAATTTATCGTCGCACCTTGCTGTCTTCGGTAAACATTCGCCGCTTCCACAACGGAACTCGTTTTTCCTGTTTTCGAAATGACAACAAACGTTGATTACGTGTTTGAAAACACATGGTGTGCAGTGTATTTCTGTGATTGTATCGTTGCACTTCAGGTAAAGTAGAGGAAGCAGAAACAGAATCAGGGAAAAATTCGAGAAATTTGTCTAACCATTTCGGGACGAATTTTTTCTTCCTAATCATAACGCGTTAATGTAATAACATTAACTCTAATACGGTCAAACTTGAAAAGAGATAGATTAAATGTAATTCTAGAAATAATGACAGGCTAATTTTCGTAGGATAATTTTTAAAGTAAGGGCTATTATTATGTGAGATCCTGTATTGCAATAAATCTTTCTAAAAGCTACCTTGGACGTGCAAGCTGGAAAGAATTAAAATATAAATATAGTATATTCCATTATCTGCGCTCTTTTATCTAAAACTTCATAGTACTATAACGTTCACTGAAAAACTAAATCTAGAATCATCATCTGACTGGAATTTTTAATACAAAATTTTCCTCCGCTTCAGATTCATTTTGCTCAATCTAACGATCCAAACTGTTTGCTCTTCGAATATCTCATAACTTCCAACAAAATCCGATACAAAATGAAGCACTTACAATATACAAATCACGAGAATTTAAAAAAAGAAAGGAGAACGATTGTTCGATACAAAATGGTATCGTATAGCGATGTCGGATTTCACGTATCAGTTAACAGGAAGCGAAACTAACGATTCGAAATCAAGCTACAAACGTACACTTGTTTCTATCGCTATTTACCCGAGTAGATCGTGTTCCCCGAATCGAGTTTCCATCAGTAATCTCACCATGGCGCGCGTTTGTCACTTTTAGTTAACTGAAATTCATTAGGACAATTTGGATGGGCGAAATATTTCATAGCCGGATATAGCAAAACTGCCTCGATTGTCGAATACGCGTTTACTGAAAAGCAATCCGCGCGATACGATACCGTTCGTATCGTATGATATCGTATCGTATCATGTCGTATCGTATTTAATCGTTACGAATTTTATTGTTCATCTGTTTGTCATTTGTATCGTATGTCACGCTTATTACGCGATTCCTTCGAATTATACAGATAACGAAAATACAATCTACTATATATATAAAAATACATTTGGAAGTGCAATATTAAAAATACCAAAAATATGTCTTCGTTTCTAAAGTAAAACGTTTCGGTCTATGGATGAATTGATAGATACTTAATTTTTATTTCATGCAAATTATGAAATATTACGGCCGAGTATATACGAGTCCATTTATTATACTTGGATATTCAGACAGACTTATCAACCTGTCAAGCTATACATCGGCTATATTTTTCATTTTGCTTAATTATAAATTAAAATTTACCATATCCCTATTGTCCTACTTTTTTCTTTCGTACTCAATAATTTTATTTCGTATCGATCGAAATTTAACGTGACTATTAGGAATTATAAAAAGAAATATTCCGATTATGGTATAAGAGTGAACAATTTACTTAGATATTCATTCGATTCTAATTTGCGATAATTCCTCGTTCCAGAGATGGACTATTATTTTAGACGAACATAACATTTAACATCTGGCTGCCTGCCATCTCTAAATTATTCCAAGTATCTTTCACATAATCAATTCTATAATATTCAGTTGCTACGTGACCGAATCACTAGCTATTCTTGAACGTTCGAATTGCTCAGTTTCACAAGCATATTTATCAACCACGCAGTTCAATACAGTCCTTATGATCAGGTCTGTGACTACGCGTTTCAACATATGCAAATACCGTATTACACGTACGTTTGGTATACGGTTTTAAGCTTTCACGTTTCTACACTTTTAAATACAACACTTTTAAGCAACGTTGTCTGATAGAGACTCGATCAGAAAAACCGTCATGTGCATACATAACGCAGTTGTTAACGTTTATTTTCTATACAAAATTGGAAGTAACAGATGAAGAAATTATTTTCTATTTCATTCATCTTATCTTTCTCCGATATTTTAATCCGTTGCAAAAGGATCAATGAAACTTGAAAACCTCGAGAAATCTACCAATCATATTTTTCATTCTTATTTAGTTGAAGAACAAAACTCACCTGCACCGAGTTTTTTCATCAGAAAATCGTTCATTGAACATCTCAATTTCTTCATCATCACGCGGTGTACCATCTCTCGAAGATGAATCTTTTGACACGTTATCATTTTTCTGTGGTTTGTCGTTGTCATAATCGAAATTCTGTCTTTCTTTATCAACTTTATTATATAAACCAGGTGGACCATGAGGTGGACCAGGCTCATGTCCAGGAGGCCCATGTCCAGGGGGTTCATGTCCAGGAGGACCACCACCACGGTTTAATCCAGGTGGAAATCCAGGAGGACCACCACCCCGATTTAATCCAGGTGGAAATCCAGAAGAACCATCATCACGATTTAATCCAGGTGGAAGTCCAGGAGGACCACCACCACGATTCAATCCAGGTGGAAGACCAGGAGGACCACCACCACGATATAATCCAGGTGGAAATTCAGGTGGACCAAGTCCAGGAGGCCCTCGACCACCTGGAGGACCTCTTTGTGCATTAAATTTGTTTCGTCCACGACCAGGAGAATCAGGGGAATGTCCCCATTGTGAGCTTCTTTTCAATCTGCCAGCGTCGTTCTGATCGGCCGCTAACAAGGTAGAAATAATAATTGCATCGTGATGATAAATTTCTAAACGTTATCGTGAGCACATTGTTATGTCGAGCCGGTTCGTGGCTGTCATGCGAGTCGCTTCCGGAAGAGGCGTGAGTTATGAAAGAACTCGTTAAAATGTTTACTTCAGTGAGCGTTTAAGAAAAGATAACTGAAGTTTGATGCAATGAATCTTTTTTTAAAGATGAGTGAATTAATTAATCTAGAATTCGTTCAAAGACGAACACCTACATATAATTATAAATTTAAAAACATGCTATTTCTTCAAAGTATATAAGTCTTCGTGTGATAAAAATGATAAACTATTGAAATTCTCAGCTCTGTTTCGTAAAATGGTAATTTTGATTTACAAAGTGTTGCTAAATGTCCAGATCTCTGAAAATGATGCAAACACACATCTGAACTATTATTCATCTCAAAAAATATAATTTCCAGTCACCAAAACTATCTTCACTGCGCTCTTATCTTTCGTTCGCTAAATTCTCTACCTTATATTAAAAAAGAAAAAAGTAAACTTTTCCAAAAAGCATCAACCAATAGAAACCATTTAAAAATCGCTCGGAGCGCAACTGTTGCACTCCCTATGTATTCCACGCACGCCATGCACATGTTTTTGCCCCCATGAAACTCGATGACGATCAGTCATGGAAATCGAGCTTAACATCAGCTACTCACGCGACGCTGATAGATCAGTCAACAAGAAGACCACCAAAAGTACAACGCGGGCATTCATAACTGTGCTAACTCCGCAATACCATTGCGACCATCGACGGTAGTCGAGAAATGACTGACAATCGTGGCGACTTAAAAACCGATTTGTTGCTCGTCCACGGATATCTGGGGCGTGCCACGATAACACACACGAGTTCCAAGAGGACTGGAAGCCTTGACAGACAACGATGAACTGGTCGCCTTCACTTCGCGTCGTCACCAAACCGAAAGTCGACTCTAGGATCCTTCGAAAAATATACTACAGTGTAGCGGCTACACGATGACCGTGAACATGTTAGAAAATTCCAATCTTATAAATGTGTGTGTATATACATATATGTTTTTGCATGTAATTAGTTGCGATTTAGGAAGAAAAAAAGTTCGGGAGAAAATAATCGATAGAGGAAGATTTTTTGAGCGATTTCGTAAAATCGTGTAATTGTTCGTAAAGTGGCTTTCGTGGAATCGAGTGGCTGATTATAATTATCGATTATTGGGATTTTTGGGATTTTTGAATATTCATGGTTTTCCTATTTGATATTGTATTATTTAGACTTTATTTGATTATCTGTAATTGATTGATCTCTTTACGTAATTTGTTTTAATCATCGCTGAAATGTCACAAACTCACGTGATGTTGGTATGTTCGATAAAATGAATAAAAGGTATCCTTGATTGATTATTCATCGAAAACTCGTATAAACAATATTAAAAAATTACCAAATCGATTATCAACTATACGCGAGAAAAGTTTCGGCTTATAAACAAAACCGTAAGGAACATTAAAGAAAAAAATAATCACATTTATAAAAAAAAAAAGACTAAGATTATTTAATAGACGTCTGTTGTGTGAAGCTCGAAAAAATGTTTTAAAATGACACTTCCACGAAACAATTTATCAGCGAGCCCACAATCAAACATGCAAATTGTCCTTCTATAGATGGATACGAAACAATTCGTGGACGACTATTTTGCATATATATATATATATACGGTATATTCGTAATATAACAAACATACCACTTTAAATCGATTCGTCGCGAATATTCTAGATTCTAGAAGATAAATTCACTGAGAACATTTTATTCCATTCCTGGAGGAGGCGATATGGCAATATAGCGTCTAATATGAACTGCTATGCTTGTCTACGATGAAAACAGATGTTTATCGCGTGTACCAGCATTTCCAGAGAAGTTATTAATTCTGAATGAAGTTGTTCAAAGATGATGCGAAATTCGTTGCGCAAGACAGATTGCGATTGCGTAATTCTCTACGTGAATCTGTATCTTCATTGCATCACATATGTATGTATGTATTCGCTTGTACATCGAGTGAATCTGTGTGTTCGTTCGTTAGATTGCTACGAGTTTCAGGCATCTTCAACACAGTCATCGCGATGATTGCGCTCGCTCGAAAATATCGTAGAATGTGTGAATCTCGTTTTAAAAACGAAATAACTAGACAGCGAGTTTGGAAAAAAATTGATTAACGCAATAGCAAATACTAACGAACTCTCGAGGATAATTCAATTTGTCGTGGAAATTCTGAAAAAATGATAGACCGCCGCGCAGTATCATCCAGGGGCATTGAAACAATCGAAATACCAAATATTATATATATTTTTTTTCTTTTTTAATAAATTTAGTAGTTCTAAAGTAGAAGCACCGGTAGGTTGATAGCACGATCTCGTGGAACATTTAGAGCACGAATTGAATGCAGCCGTCATGCAAATTGCAAAACAAAAGAGAACTTCATTTCGCCTCGAACAACGACTGAAAAATCGAGTACGACGTTTAAAACGCCCGAAATAATAGAGGGTTGTTTTTTTTTCATAGACATCACGATTCTTTTTTACACTCAGCTGTTGAATAGATTTAAAAAATGAACGTAGTGCTTCAGACACACGGGGCGAAGCATATATACAAAGTACCAGAAGGACTAAGGGAATTGTGCACTGATATCTCGCGGGAAGTAAGCATTTTTACTAAATTCGTAAAATACTCTACGATTTTATATAAAATTTATTACGGTCGCGATAAAATTACAAAAACTTCTTTAATGTAAATCACTAATAATTTCTTTTAGTCATTTTTATAAATACATACATAGAAATTCAATAAAAAAAAAAGATATTCATTCGAATTACGTTTAGTTCTTTCTATCTGCAAAACCCATACCTTTTTTTCCTTTTAATTGTTTCTTTTTAATCTACATTCCTAAACGTTGAAAGAAATTTCAATCGCATAACGTGGACAGCACTTAACGTTAACAACGAACTATTTATCTGCATATGTAAGTAGCACATACACATTCTACTGAATGCTGAACGTTTCGTAATAGACGATCATAAAATACGATCATAAATGCAATAAATTCTTCGATTTCCTATCGATGTAATCTCTAATCTCGTGTTAACAGTTAATTCCTAATTTAATAATTGAAACAGGTTCTTCGTTCCCAGCCAGCCAATTTAATCGCCTTTATCGCCGAATACGTGGATACGCTTCTGATCACACGCGAAAACACGAAAGGTACATTTCTCTCCTCGATGTATCCTTCTTCTTCCGCGATCTTCTCCCTTCATTACTTTTTTCTTTATTTATTTTTTTATTTTCGGCACGAGTGACCATGTTATTAAAAGTGTATCGTTTCAGTTGCGGTTAAAGTCGTAAACAACATTTTACTTGAGAGCCAGGCCATTCTGTGCATACTTTACCGGACTGGTTTCACTTTGGAGCAGATCGCAGTCGCGGCTCCGCGGATCCAAGTGAATTTTATTGTCGCGTGCTGACCGCTTGTCAATGGCTACGCGATATTTCCAGTCCTTTCTTCCTTTTCCTTTTTCCTTCCCTTTCTGCAATTTTCCTTTTAGTATCTCTCTCCTTTTTATTTTTTTTCATTTCCCAGAAAGCATTCCGCGAGTATTTGGACGAGGTTGACACGCAACCGGTACAGGCATGCGAAGGTAAGAGAACTGGGAATGAATCGTAAAAAGAAACTGGTAGGTAAACGTTATTGTTTTAAGCGACCGGCTGTAACGCGGGCTCGTTTGACGGTAAAGTTATAAAATAAAGTGGAATAAAGATACGTGCGGCTTTTCGGTAGCCATGATCGTTATCGTAGGAAATTTAGTGATCCTTTAGATCGAAATTTTTTTACGATCCTCGGTTAATGCGAATGGTTATCTATATGGGAGGTAAAAGCTAAGGAATGGCTTGATATGTTAACTCAGAATTATTATATTATCATAAAGTGGATATAACAGGGGTTGTAAAACTAAAAATACCAGTATTATCTACGTCATTTTATATCACGAACTCTCGATGAAAGAATATAATACACGCGATTACAGCAATTGCAGCAAAGTAATATCGAGTGTTTTTAATTGCCCGTACAACTATCTTAAACGTAGATCCAACTTGCGACGAAAAATCTATGATATCGATACGAGATATTCTAGAAGCTACAGGAGCTGTACGAGAAGATGCAGAGCGTGCTGCCACAGTGATACAAGTCAGTGTTTCGATTAAAAGTACTTTCGAAGCGAAATATATTAAAATGTCGGATCGATAAATTAAAATCAGGCTGCGTTTCGTGGCCATTACGAGAGAATGGTGTTGAACGAAGCTGAAGGGAAGATTCAGTGGCAAAGAGCAGTGGGGAATACGCTGGACATCCTGAGAAAAGCTGGTGCAACGCAAGAGGAAATTTCTAAAGCCGCAAGACTCGTAAAAGTAATTTTCCTTTTTTTAACACGGCGCTACTAACAATCATTTGATAATTAATCACGCATAGTTTGCCTATCGCGGATACTACACCAGAAGAAATCAGAGGATCGACGCTCGTAAGATTGTAATCGCACGTCACGATCGTGATATCACGAATTCGGTGTAAATTCTGCGTACGTTGAAAAATTCGACGTTGTTGACTGTTGATGTTCGCAGCGGGAACGGAAGAAGCGCCTCTGAAGAAGGATGAACGTATACTCGAACCCGTGGAAGCTGTTCAAGCGGTCGCTTGGATGGAAATGATGTACCAAGATTCTGGATTAACATTGGAAAAGGCCAACGAGGCTGCTGCAATTATCCAGGTAACGATACGATGCATATGATTCTAGTGATTAACGAGAGACTGCGCATTTTTATACATTTATGGGAAATTTGAAAGTGAAAAAGAGCACAGAATGCATGCAATATGCAAAGTAGGTATAGTACTCGTTATAATACTTAATAGATAAGAAAATAAGTAGGTTCTGGGAAATAGTAGGGTCTACAGTTTTAGCCATATTCATGATAATGAGCATTCTTATCCGCAGCCACGGCAAAATTAATAAATTTACCTAGCTGATTTTAATTCGTTGCTGAATTCACGTAAAATTATCTTATAAAATACGCAATGTCTTAATGGATTTTTTATGGAAATACGAATGATCGATAGATATACTTTTTTCTTCTTAAAACAGAGAGCTTACAAAGAATATCGTGCGAGAAGACGATGCTACGACGTGCAACAATTGGTGACAACGCAGACAATGGTCGCTGAAGCTGTCGTCGATACGGTACATCGCAAGATTTTTGAAAAGATCACCTCACGCCCAGACATCCCCACTGAATATGGCACTCGCGAGGAAATGATGGCCACGAGCACGCAACTTCAGATTACTTTCAAAGAACATATGAGGATGAGCCGCTTAATAAAAGAAAGTACAGCATTTAATATATATGATACTTATACGTGATACGTAAATTTAGTATTTTTGAAATAACAAGCTAACTGAACTGTTCAAAAATTACACTTTCCCATATGTACGTAATAATACTGGTTTTATTTATTAGATGACTTAAAACCTAGCGAATACGAGGAGGACGAGGAAGAATACGAAGAGCAAAGTAACTAGAAAATTTCACTCAAAAAATTAATATAAGAATAATATAAGAGAAAAATTTGTAGAGGTAATTCAGGATTTGTAGAGGTAGTAGAGGATGAGGTAGTTCAAATATCGATATAATATTCTAAGTGTCGTGAGCACTTTATTTGTAATGCCTTGATACAAAGCACAAGTCCTGGTCTATAATTAATCGTGATAAATACGCGCGTGTGTCGACAAACTTCGTATACACTTTGATGCGTTGATATCTTCGACTGCTGAACTCTCTCGCTTGATAAACTCTCTCGCTCGTTAATTCGCTCGTTTATTTATATCGGTCGGGGGACAGTAAGGAAAGTTTGAACTCGACTGCGTTTTACGGTTGAAAGTAACAGCGACATTGTTTTGCCTCGGACTTTGATTATTAATACAATATGTGTGTGTTCTACGATATTGATGCTCCGAGGCAAAACAACAATAAGATTTGAATTTATTAGCGTGCCGCTACAAATTGAAAATTTTAATTTAAAGAAGACGTGGAGGAAGTTGTGCCTACTGAACCTGCGCCCAAACCTAAATATCGCCCGGTAGAACCACGAGTTCTACCATCGAGAACAGAATACAGGGAAGAACCATTGACAGAAGAAGAAGAAGAAGAAGAAGAAACGGAAGAACTGCAAGCGACAGAAACTGAAATTACGGAGCCGTTGACTGTAAGTCCGGATTTACAAACGGAACCCGAAACAGAGCGGTCAGAGCTCGTCGACGAAATCGAGGAAGACGAAGGTATTAATGATAATTTTATACGCTGTGCATGGTAATTAATAACGAAATCTTTACAGTGCGTGATACGAAAGAAGATGTAGTAGAGGAAAAAGAAGAGGAAGAAGAAAAGGAAGCAGAGAAGGAAGAAGAGGAGGAAGAAAAGGAAGCAGAGAAGGAAGAAGAGGAGGAAGAAAAGGAAGCAGAAAAGGAAGAAGAGGAAGAAAAAAAGGAAGCAGAGAAGGAAGAAGAGGAAGAAGAAAAGGAAGCAGAGAAGGAAGAAGAGGAGGATGAAGAGGATGAAAAATTAGAAGAAAAAGAAAGGGAAGAGAAGGAGGAAGAGTAGAGAGAAAAGAAGGCGAAAGAAGTAGAAGAAACGGAGCGAAAAGTGGAAGAGATGGAAAAGAAAAAAGGAGAGACGCAAGAGTGTCCAAATGATGCCCAAGAGGCTGGCGGTACAGAACCCGTTGTAGCGGAATGATATAAATGCGCTCGTTTATTAACTTTATTAAAGCAATATACTTCCAAAATAAGTTTATTAACTTTATTAGCGCAATATACCTTAAAAAATAACCATCCGGAGGAGCGACGGTGCGCCAACCTTGAAATTGAACTACTGTTCGAAACTTCTTTGTCCCTTTTTGTGGGTGAAGATAAAAATTACAATGAAAATTTGTACGCAGAAATCTTATAGTGATTTTAATGTAAATTTGTTAAATACATAGAGCGGTGTCTTCGTACAAAGGCAAAATATATATGTGATATGATCTTTTTTTCTACCTTTTTTGTTAAACTCGAATTTCTTAATAAATAATAACCAATAAATAGCGATATAAATACATCTATAGCAGCTAGCTACTGTATGTAAAAAAGACGAGTAGCAAACGAACGTGCGAACTAGAAACGATATAAATACAAAAACTTGGTATGAAAAAGTAGAACTTGAAGCGAAGAATCTTCGTTGAATTTAAAACGTGTGTCTCCACGGTGTGCCTTTCGCTGAACAACAAGTACCAGTCTTTATTAAACGAGACTTGAGGTTTTTGAATTGATTGCAATCCCCTTCCCTGAACATCGGACCGCAGCCGTGTCTGCACGTTCTCCCCATCGACACACGATTGTCTCGGAAACGGCATTTATTGCTGCTCGAATATTTCTCCCCTTGTTTCGCGTTCACGATTTCATCCAGTTGACAACTGGTTTCCGAGGTGAACGATTTATCGCATTCGTCTTTAGTTCGTTCGCTCGAGAATTCAGGGCCGCCGAGGTATGTCTTGTGCTTGCACTTTTTATTAGTCTTGTACTTTTCCACCAGAATACACAAAGAGTCCTTGTGATTGATCGTGCCCACGGAATCATCCAGTTCCTCGTCGTTCTGCTCTTGCACCGTCGAAATCTTTTCTGAATTGTTCGCGCAGCACTTATGACTGCAGATAGATTCGTGCGGGGTTTGGTCATTGGAACAGCAATTTCTCCGATTGTTGGAGTTTGAGGAGCAGAGACACGTGTCTGACGCGAGACGCTTTTCCTTTGATGAATAACTGTTTGGAAAAAATGTCAATAAAGATCGTGAACTAACTCTTCGACGATTTATAATATTGAATGATTAAAATTCCTGTCTGATCGATTAATCTATATAATTTGCAAATGTACAACTCGAGTGTACTTTATTCCAAATACATTTTAACCCATTATTCGCTTATAACAAAATTTACAACCCTAGTATTTTTAAATATAGAAGATTTGAATTCTCAATAGGATAAATGTAGAAAATAACAGATAAATATTTCGTATGTCTTACGTTTACCTGCTATCACAAAGTGCACTTTACAAGCACTTTTATGAATGTAAAATAAAAATTTAACGTTACCTACAAACTTTTGTTATATTTTGTCGCTTATAACAAGAAAGGAGTTATAGATAGTCCCATTCTGACACAGTTCTATAATAATACAAACTAATCCCGTCTTATGCTGTAACTTTATTTTTATTAACCTGTTGTACTCGTTGTCGCAACGATGATGGCAGTGATCGTGAGAATGGCAGCAATAATGACGACTCTGACGATACCAATAATCCCGATGAGGTCGTAGGAGATCAAGAGTCGAATGTTTCGCACAACGGAATGTGCGCGAAATACTAGACGACGATAGGTGGTTATCCTTTTGCGAGTTTCGATGATACGATTTATGATCTCTCCCTTCGGCATTACACTCGTGCTCGTCTTTATCGTAATCTACACAAGACGAAATTATTAGGATAATTCACGGTAATATAATTCACATCGACAAATTCAATGGCAAATTCGATTTATCGACAACTGCAGATTCAAGAACGCGAGGAACTTTGATTTACTTCGTTTCTCGGACGAGTCGCTGCTTTTAACATTGTCCACTTCGTTCTGATCGCAGCCGTACAGAAGATTAACGGAATCCAATTTAGTGGAAGTTTTTTTCGGGTTTCGTCTTGGAAAATAAGAATATGAGCCACGACAACGACTAGAATTTCGAGGTTCCGTTATGAAACTTTTTATTGCCTTCGCGTTACAACTAAAAAAAGGAAGCAAACGAGTATGTGTTATTTCTTTGTATTCTTTTAGTGCTTATACGACAAAATTGATAACCAGATAATAAAATTCTTATTTCATTCTGGTTTCACCGACGTAAAATTGAAACAAAAAAGGAGAAGGTTAAAAATTTCAATTTTGTAAAATTTTGTCCGGAGGCGTGTTGCGATTATCGAACGACCACATCAACAAATTTTCGGGGTAAAATCGCTCAATGTATGATATACAATAAGATATGAACTAGATGTTGACATAATTCTCAGCTTTCAATATATCATTTATAAATTAATGTCTTTAATAACATTCTGAAAATTGCTTGAAACTAAAAATGATAAAGACTCATAAAATAATATTACGGTTGATTTAATGATATTACTTTCGTCTGTGATTAATCTAAATTGTGAATACTAAACTATACTACATATAAATTCGTGTCGTAATTGTGTGATTTAATTCAGAATATCTCGCTACTATCATATAGAAGAATGAAATATTAAAATTAAATTAGAATTTGATATTCTTCTTATAATTACAACGTATTTTTCTAAAATTACTACGAAAACTGTAAACAGCTGGCCACAAGAATATTTGTCAAATTAAAACGTTCCTGATAATCGATTCTCGTGTACAAAATGCGCCATACCTTTCTGTTTGTTCCGATTTAGAAAATTCGCTTTTCTGCGTGATCCCATTATGCTCTTTGCTTGGGACGATGTCGAGTGCATCTCCAGCATTGCATTGATCGTTACGTTTACGACAACAACTGCAGATTATTGGCTTCTGGAGTAAGTTTTCCTTGATCGAGCCACTTTCGCCGCACTCATCGTTCCAGAATGCCTTTGCTTCCACACGATTCGATCTTCCGTTTGAACAGTTTCTCGATGGAAGCGACGAATTTTCTTGATCGTTTAGCTCCTCGTTTCCGCTGACGCTTTCAGTCTGATTCCAACATTGTCAAAGACAACAATTTGCAGAGAAATGTTATTAAGAACGTTTCAGAAATCTTTAATCTAAATTTAATAATCCAAATCAAGCAGCTGCAAATCCCAAGAGCAGGCAATTCTTAAAATCGAACCATTGAATGATATATAAAAAAATTAATTTGGATTTATAACCTGGTTCAATATAATATGACATAAACACGAATACCGAAAAAATTTGTAGGATATTAGCAGTGAAATTACCTTATCGAACTTTGTTTCTTCTATGTTGCTATACAAACCAAAATTTTTCGGAAATTTACGTCGAGCCCGGCGAAAAGCTACCGCGGCTGCGACCAGTTGATGCGAGGATGACGGACAAACCTGGGACATGGCTGAAAAAGTCGTATGAACCGGTTCGAATATTTCCCGAATTTTAAAAATGTCCAATTTATCATTCGGAGTAATTGGTTAAGTTTGCTATGGGGAAAATGGTAATTGACGTTGAAGTGAGTCGCGCTATTTCACGAATAATTTGCAAAAAATCGAATTCGATTCTCCTATCGATGCGAACAATTCGAAACTAATACAAATGACAAGTATAGTACAATAACTAACGACAGTCTTCTATTTATAAATTTAATTTTTTGCATTGAAAAATTTTCCATTCTTAAAACTAAAACTATTGAATGAGAATTTTGTTGATTTATATATTTGAAATTATATCACTTAAAAATTAAGATTTTTAAATTAGATAGCCCGTTTTAAATGTATATTATTCCTAGAAAATCTAAGAGTCTTCTGTTAATTGCAGCAGCACGATTTTACGATATCTGATTCTATTACAGCCTCTGGCGTGCAGTTCGCTCTGTATAACGATAGAGAATTCCGGCAGCGTACGATTTCATTGGATTTGTATTAAACAGAATTTCGTGCAGTATGAAAACCTAAGCCAATATTCGATCACCGCACATTCCGTATCGAAACGTTTAACGACTTTAATTAGAACGATAGCCGATTGGTAGCAAAAACAGATCTGTTTTAACATCCATTGACTAGATGGAATAGTAAATCTTGTTAATTTCAAGTTTCGTCAAAATGAATAATTGCAAAACAAACATGTGGATCCGTTGAACGTATATGAAAGCTTCTACGTGATATCGGATAATTATTAAGTTAACATTTCATCAACGAAATAAATTTAAATTTCATGAAAGTAAATAGAAGCCATTAGAAAGGAAAATTATATTACTCTCTGATAACGTTCTCAGTCTTAAGAAAAATTGCATAGTTAATTATACAAGGCACAATAAAATAATCGCTACTGGAAATGGGTGAAAAATAATAAGAACGAATCTCGTGATCGATAATCAACAGAAAATACATCGTTTCTCGTTATCAGAATTTTAATTAACGATGAAATAACTGAGGAATGTTATTTGACATTGGTTGAAGTTAATTAAAAGTGCGCTGACGATTTTAAAAAATTAAGGACTTAATATCATTCAATAAAATAGTTCCAAAACTCTTGCAATTTGATTACATCAGTATATCAAAGTAAAACAGTTGTAATTTAAAGTAATAGCTATTTGAAAATAGCCATTACCGTACATGTATGAGGATCAACTACTTTATTTCTTGTAAATGTTCCAAGCTAACCCGATGTATAAATCGTTCGTCCCAAATCGTTTCCGTGAATTATGCCATGGCAAATTCTCAAATTATTGTGTCCATGGGTCAATGTACACGCCAGTAGGGGATCTTATACAGACTACAATTCCCATTGGTATGATCACTCGTTCCAGATAGAAGTAGCTTGTCAGTTCGTGCGACTGATACGAGCATAAAAGATAATGCGCAATTGCGCAATCAAGAGCGGAGTATGGTATCCTATTTATTAATAAATTGTAATAAAAGTAGCGAATGAAGATACTTTCTTCTAAATAAATTATTAAAAATATGTCTAAAACTATTAATTCAGAAATAACATTCTGTTTAGAGATATGGATATTTATGTAGTATTAGATCTTTTAGATCTAATTAAATGAGTTATACGTGAGTTATACATAAAGAAAAATATCCAAAATACAAAGAAACTATTGCTATCAAATTAATTTATTGAAAAAGTTACTTTTTACCGGAAAGTTATATTTATAACTAAATCATAAAAATATAATGACTTAAACGAAAACAAAAGATTTCATACATCGATCAGAATTCAATAGAATCGAGCTTGACGCTTTAAACTTATAACGATAAAATATCATAGTGCATCAAGAATCACTTCATAAAAACACGAATGATGATAATTGATACTAACCCTATTTACTTAATCGTTAAATCAAAAATATTGTACTATAACAGCAGTTAATGAATTTACATTTTGCTTTGACAGATCCGTATGAGAATTACGAAAAACTTTCACATGAACGAGATTTTAATATCATCCGCGATTTTAATATCAACGCCTGGTAAAATTACAGGCAACGATTTATTCACGTTTGTATAGAAACTCGTATACACCATGGGGATACACTATCTTAGATAGAAGTACGGTATGTATAAAGTATGTCAACAACAAAAGAAGGAATAGACGCCTATACGATAAATTTGAGACTGGATTAATTACGTTCTACGAATACAAAAAATTATACTTCTAAGTCCTCGTGTGATTATGTATGTGCGTGAATACTAAAGCAATTCTTGGAACTAATCAGAATCGTCTCTCCTTGTATGCACCCGCCACGCTTCCAATACATATATACTCATTCTAGCAAATCGCGAATCACATTCGCGATCTCTGCGTTACATGATTACGCATCATAGATCAAATTCCTTATCTCACTGATCACGCGCATTGTTCGTTCGTAACGCTGCATTTATAAATTCGTTTATACTATCATTCGCTATCTAAACCCTTAAGACATTCGCTATAAATAATTTGTAAAATATACACATTTTTTACAGAACAGCATCTTTGCAACGACACATTAGCAATGAAATAGTTACTATCGCAAGGAACAATTCGATAAAGATAAGATAATGCAATACCATCCATTTACGTTCATTATGCTCTTTAGAATCAACGACATTCGTATAAATTTATTGATAGTACGATGTGAAATCGGACGGACTGCATCAACCATCTTTTAAGGTACTAACGTAAGAACTCCATTCGTATTTATCATATTTTAATTCATCCACGGTGGACAGGAAGTCGGTGGTTGATATGTCTGTGAAATTGGCACCTGATAATGCTGCACATTTTGAGGAGGATGCTGCGGTCGCTGCTGATGATGCGGCGGTGGTGGTGGCGGTGGATTGCAAATGGATTGCATCAATGGGTGTGAATTGTAAGGAGGAGGTTTTGTCGTATACGGTGGCATTTGATTATACTCAACATTCAACGGATGCTCCAATATCGCATTTTGTATAGGCGAACGATTACCTTCAATGTGTCCTAGATAATTACGAAAACATTTAATCATTATTCTATACACCGAAATTTAGGAGTAAAATATAAAAAATGAACACTCTTGTAAAGAAAATTACAAATGAATGAAGAGCTATTTCAAAACATAATGAAACATAAATGATTATTTTAAATAATTTGAAAGCCACATTAATTGTAGGCGTACAATTTTAAAAGCTTCTCTTAGATATTTATTAGACATAATCAAGTGTTCCATATTAAAATCGAGACATAATCATGTGGATTTTATTTACAAACATATACAACTATACAATTATCGACAGTATCGTTATTCGTTGTGAATACCTCTGGGTCTAATTTGTGGTGGTGGCATATTTGTTGGAGGTAATGTAGGACACACTCCTTGATGCTCTCCATCCCTTGGCATTGGTGGTGGTCTGCCCCATGGAACTCTAACATGATGCGTTTGCCATGGTGCCTGTGGTGGAAGTGAAGGAGGCAGAGGCGGTCCTCCAGGATGTATGTTTATCGAATCTCCGATCGGATTTTGCTCATTTCCTATTACATACATTTATACATACAATGAAATTTGTTCTTCAGCTTATAGGAGACATAAAAATAAATATACCAGAACAAATGTTAGATATACCTGTATTTATGCCTGCAGTTTTTTGATCCAAGCTGCGTTTCTCACCTAAATAATGAAAATTCATGAAATGAAATAAAGTACATATACAAGATGATGTGGAATAACAATATGTAAAGTATATTATAAAATTAAATATGGCAAATAACGTGATGAAATATTGTAATACAACTATTAATTAATGATAAATTAAAAATAAAATAAAATTATAATATATCCTTTCCTTTTACTTAAAACTCAAGCTACAATTTGTTAATATGCAGATTAAAATATTAGTTGATTTGTTTAAATCAATACTGCGCAGTGATAAATTCTCTAAGTATTTCTTAAAGTTCTACGGAACACTAACAATATTTCACGCTGTTCACCATTTCTTAAGAAAGAAAAAAAATAGTGATTATGACGACTAAATGCATCTGGAAGCGCATAATAAATATATCCATGACATTAGGTCACGATTGCTGTAAAGCCTCCTTAGTTTATGTTGTTTGTTTCATTCGTGATCTGCAAAATAAAATTTATTATTAAAAATTTGTTTTCATCTCCATCACCCAAATTCCTGGTTTAAGACATCCATCAGATTATTATTCAATTCACTGTAAAACAAATGATGAAATCAATTGCATACAATTATTTAACAAATCCAACATTTTTACTCTGTAAACTTTGTACACATTTATAGAAAAAGCTACATTAAATAATTTGTAAACACCATGAATCATTAATGTCAATATGACAGGCTGTTGCTCCATGTATTCACATGTCCAGCGTCAGAGATCTAATTCCAAGATACATATCCCTGGCATTTCGACTTGTTAAACTTAAAATACTCATATTAAAACATAGAATGCATTTCAACAGAACACGAACGATAATAATTATAGTTAATACTGGTTAAAAGTAATCACTGAAATATAAAATCACTTCATTGCACAGAGATCTGAAAACACATATACATACTTTAATAAAAAACATATGAAAAAGCATTAAAATTAGGATGCTTAAGTTAACTATTTTAATTATATAATATAATGTAGCGAAAGTTTTGTTAATTCTAAATAATAACAAATAAAGATAAATGGAAAGCAATCTATCTGTGGTATCGTAAACTTCGTAGACAATTCCGGAAGTCTATCTGCAATGTGTCCGGATGAGTACATGAAAAAGCGAATCGCTAAGACATATGGATTAAGAGTAAGGGCAAATTCGTATTGTTTAGTAAAAAATATATTTACAGTAAGTAATGTACTACAAGCTAAGAGTATTAAGAAACAATGCTAGATACCCATCTGAAATGAAAATATAAAGACAGTACTGAGTTATAAATATAAAAATTATTAATTCCGACTAATTCATGTAATGAAATTAAAATATTTATTTTGAAGAAATATATGTATATTATTAAATACATTCAATATATTGCACTTAATCATTATTATCTATGAAGAACTACACTCGTGTTAATTTTCAAAAGGTATCCAGCATTCTTTCATTTTGAATACTCTTAGTTACAGACCTTGATGTGGAGGTGGCATTAGCAGCTTGTTTCGATCTCCATGAGGAAGGCCTGCAGCTGCTTGTGATGGACCATGTAAGACTTGTTGCTGTCGATCACCTTCTCTGCTTAAACAATTCAGTTTCAAATTATTAATTCACAATTGATGATTATAAAGTAAACATTTCAAAATTTAAGCAAATATCACCTGATGCACAGCCATGGATATTTCTGAAATGTTAAAAGCACCTGGTGTCTCCAGGTTATAGTTAATGATACCAAACTTTGTCTAAAAAGTACTTAATTGTGTTATAACTTAATAGCACAGAATATTATACTAAAAGAATTAGATCCAATTACTCTTTACACAATTTATAAATTGTAATTTTAGTATTGTAATTTTAGTATTGTAATTTTAGTATTGTAATTTTAGTATTGTAATTTTATTATTGTAATGTCATTTTATTATTTTCATTGAGAGTAATAATAACAAAATAAGCAATACTGACAGTGTATATATTTACAAAAAAATTTACCAGAAGAAATATATAAATACCTAAATATTTTTTCTCTGCATAATATTCTGTGAAAAAATTAGTTATATTCACAATCATTTACTTTAAACATTTTGATTACTCAGATCTATCTTTATACTAATTTTATACTTTTTTACAAGTAAAAAACAGAATAAGTATATTTGAAAATAGTTTGATTGTGAATATGTAAAATTTTTTATACCAAATTATAGTTGCAAGAATAAATTGATGTTCCTTACTCTATAATATCAAATATATTTTGCTTTTTTATTTTTTATTTTATTTTATTTTTTTCTTTCATTATAATTATAAATTTGTGAGTAAGGAACAACTAAAAAACTTCCTGCTATCTATTGAGTTTGGTACATCTTGATCAAAGCAGGTTTCTGAAAAAAATTTAATTTTATTGAATTGCATGTATTTAAGCTTACTATAATATAAAATAAAATGACTATATATAAGTTACAATTTTTTTTCGTATCTAAGCAATGAATTATTAAGCAGCTTTCACAAAATTAGAGATTCCATCACAGTTGGTACTAATACAAAATGTAATTGCAAACATTAAATGTGTATACTTATACATATTTCTTTTTCAGCTTTAATATTAATCAGACACTATAAATAAACATGTTTATTTTGTATTTTAAATATGTATTTAAATATAATTGAGGTTCATTAAACCTGCTTTATTCACCTAATAAATTTTAGTGTTCCCGCATATTGCAAGAAACTTTTACTTCATATGTATAAATGACATAACTATATCTAATAAAAGTAAGTGAATAAAAGTTTCAACGATTTTACTTACCCTGTTCCATGACGCTGAGCAGGTAGAGGACCACACTGATAAGGTGATGTTTCCTATTATAATACAAAAGTTTATTTGAGTTTTTAATGTCTTATACAGTAGTAAATTTTTATTTTATCAGACATGAATTCTAAAAACTAACCGAATTTGTTTCAACGTCTGAAAATCTTCTTTTTACGCCATGAGACTTTTGTTCTGGGGAATCAGGCTTTTGCTCAAACTGTTGAGGTGGTGGTTGAACTGTATAATGTACTTGAGGAGGTATATGACCATTCTGATATTGCATATGCTGTGCATGATACTGTATCTGTGCTTGAACTTGCGGTGGAGGTACATTATGTAAAGGTATATTTGCGGGTGGCATCTGAACCTATTAAATTTTACATTCTTATTCATATATACTTTAATTCATAAAAATGTATACATACTATAACATTACCTGTAATTGTCCCTGCGATTGCATCATTTGTTGCGGTTGTTGTGCTTGATATAGCCATGGAGCATTTTGTGAAGAAGGTGCTTGCGTCGGCGGTGGAATACTAGTAAGAACATTCATAGAGTTCGACATTTGAGCAGCAGGCGGTGGTACAATTTGCGGAGGTGGTACTGGTTGTGGCTGTGGCCCTTGATCCACTGGTCCTTCTTGTTGATGTTGAACCTCACCTCCAGGAGGAAGAGGATGTTGTTGAGGATGTTGGGGCGATTGAGCATTAGGGACCAAAAATGTTTGCGTAGACGGAGGAGGTACTTGTAAATGAAATTGGGGAGCATGACCTTCAAACTGTGGTGGTAACATATGCTGAGCCACAGCCTGAGATTGTTCATGATTTTGCTGCAACTGTGGTGGAACAATATGCTCCCCAGGTTGTAACACAAACTGTGTTTGAGATTGTGATGCAGCTGCTTGCACCTGCTGATATTGTATTTGGTAAGTTTGTGGTACTGGAGGTGGTGGTTGATTTGGCGGGAAGTTTGGCGGAGGAAAATGAAGGTGTAATAATGGTGGAGGTGGTTGTTGAGTTATGTTAATTGGAGCTGCTGGAGGTGGCTGTTGTAAATTCACGTTAACAGCTTCGATTATCCCTTGTGGCGGTGTAGAAGGCCTTTGTACATTTGGTTGTGTATAAACATAAGAAACTGCACCATTAACTGGCGCACTACTACTTGTAATGAAGTTTTGTTGAGCTGGACTCTGTGGCGGTGGTTGACTCATAACATACATTTGGGCTACAGGTTGCGGTGATGATTGTGATCCAGGTTGAATCCCTTGAATTTGTAGCGGTTGCCCAGGATGAATTTGATATTGCACTTGACTGACTGTTGATGGAGGACCAATTAATTGTACTTGTCCAACTGGCGGAGGTGGCATAAATGTTTGTATTTCCTTCAAGCAAAACATTCCATTATAACAGAACTAATATTAGATTTAATAGGTAGTAAATAAATCTATAAATTTGTTTGTTTGTTACCTGTGTTTGTGGTGGTGGTACCAATGGTCCAGAATGGGGTGGAATGTGTACTCCAGGTGGAGGAACTGTTATACCAGAGCCTGGTGCACCAGTCACTGTAGCAGTGAGAATGGTTGCTGGCAATGTTACTACACTACTTTGTGGGTGTTGTATAATATCTGTTAAGAATGATTTGCGACAATTACAGACAGAATTTCTAACAGCCATGAACTATTAGTGTATGTGCTCTACCTTGATGTTGTATAGTAACAACATTAGGCTGTCCCAAAGTACCAATGTTCATGGTTTGAAATTGTGCTATAAAAGATGAAAGTGATAACAAATGAAAATCTATAATCACATTTAATGTTTATAAAATGTAATTGATTCATACTTTGTGGCATTTGCGACTGTTCTATAACTTGCTGTGATTGTACTGGTGGTGGTTGCTGCTGTATATATGATTGCAATTCCGATTGCATTGTCTGGATTAAATTAATTGCTAACTGTTTTGCATTTTGTAATGCTTCTGGCTTTGGATGCCTATACAAACAGAATGTATAATATAATTAATTATTATAAATTCAAAATTATTATAAAGAAAATGTATAATTCATCTTACTCTATATACAAATGCAGTGGTTCTGGAGATTCAGTGCCTAAAACAGGATCAATGAATTGCGACCCTCTACCCCTTAAAGTTATATTTGCACCTGTTTCACCCCTAATGTATAATAGATTTGCTCCACCTGCACCTATAATTCTACCTCTTAAATCAAATCCTTCTGGAGCATTTTCTATCCCAACACAGATTTTTTCCTATAAAAATAATTGTGTTAATGACAATAAAAGACATATATATGCACATAGTTAGTAACTATGCATAATATAAAAGTACTGCATACCACAGATGTAACTCCGGAATGTAAACTCATAAGAGGTGGCGGTGCATTAGTAAATCTACTTGGCCTATTTAAAGAACTTTGATGTTCTGTTTTAATAATTTCATTAATTTTTTGTATAGCCGCTGCAAAGAGGATAAAATCCTAAATTATTAACAATTTGCAAAAGAGAAATAAACAGAAGTAAAGCAACATACAATCTACATTATGTTTTGCATGCCCTTGTATATAAAGATACAAAGGTCGCTCATTAGGGCAACGTAACTTCTCTTGTTCTGTCATAAAACGTCCACGTGTTGAAACAGTAGCACCTAAAAGTTAATTAACATGTCCAACATAAATAATTGTTATATAAAATAAATTTAAGTGACATGTAGCATAAAAAGTTCCACAAGAAAATATTATAAAATATAAAAAATATACCTGAGTAAGAATTAATTTCATCTTGTATGTAACCCTTCGTAAGCAGTGTGCGGGCACTAGGTGGTATTTCATTAATTTCAAACTCTGATGTATATGTTTCCCCATTTTTAAAGGTTGCATTTGAAGTTGTTAACTATTTGTTGTAGAAATAAAATTAACTTAAAAAATACTTATACCAAAATTAAATTATTTCATGAACATACCTTATTGTTTGAATCTGAACCCCTTAGTTTTCCTTTAGCCATAGGGATAAAATATATACAACTTTGCCGAATATCTCTTTTTTCATAACGTCAACACATACAGAAGATTAACGTCATTCAAACATTTTTCACTGTACTAAAAAAAGTAAATAAATGATTGTAATATCTCCATTACGACACTTCCTTTTCTAGCTGTAAGTAAATCACGTAAATGGTATAAATTTTAGGTTATTACAGATACATAGTAATAAATTTCCAATTAAACACCAATGACTTGAATTTTATTGCTACACATACCGTTATTTACTAAATCTAAGTGTGATTTACGATTTCACATGACAAACTCGCGATCAAAATACTTAACAGCGAATTAATTTTAAAATGATATCGCAAAATTATTAATCGGTACTACAAATCACTTACTACCATTTTTTAGTACTCTATCGTTGTGTGAGACGCTGTGACAGTGACAGACTTGCGCGTATTAGATAAAGTTGCCATGTTAATTTTACATATATGAAAAACAAAAGATTATGTAACTAAACAAGTAATATTTTCAATTTTCCATGTATTCCTTAATTATGATTTTAAAAAATTTTACGATAAGTTATTATAGATTTTATCCCTTTAATCGAAGTAGCATGTAAAGTATTGGAAATATCTTTTTATATTACACACAGTGAATATCAAGATTAAATTAAAATTAAAGCATAGTTTTCCAGAATGTGTTTAGAGGAAAAGAAAGAAATAATACAAGGAATTTTTTATTGAATAAATAGTTTATTTAATTTTTTCATTATAATATGTGCATCTTCTTATTTTGTAATATAATTAAAATATAAATAATTGCGTGCTATGGACAGAAATATCGCGCCGACATACATATATATACTTCGTTTATTGTGCAAATATAAATAAATCATATTTGACTAGTTTGCGCATTTAATTAATATAAAGAACAGCTTGAAAAATTCATTATGTACTATTGTTACAAAAAATGCGTTAATCTTTCTTAAAATATTACATTTACAACTCCTAAACTTGAATAATACTAAAAAAATAACAATATATTGTTTCTATTTAGTTATTATATGTACGTATTTAGATAATACATAGCTTCCTACCAAAAATTATAGACATTTTTATTAATAATTCTTCTAAAAAATATTTGTTAAGCTTTAAACTCTATTATATTGTTTTCTCATGCAGAATATAATGATTTTGATTATTTATTTGAATTTTACATTATTTTATATATTTCTCAGGAAAAAAGTTATTTGACAGAGAGACGTCCTAAACAATGACAATGAAAATTCATCTATTATTTTGCCACATAAAGCTTAACTATTATATGTATAAATATACCACTCATGTACATATTGTTTGAAGAAATAGAAAAATAGATTGTCCTTAGTCATAAATATATTAATATTTGTAACTTACTCAATGTATGGTTACCTTCTCCAAAATTACTTTTTGAAGAAATTTGCCATTAAAATAATTAATTAAAAATAAGTAATTTAGTTCAATTTTAATTTTACATCAGTGGCACGAATCAGTCTCTTCTCCCAATAAGGCCCTTTTAAAATCTACAAATTCCACTTTCAATATTTTCAATTATAAATATAAGATATAAAACATTTTTTAACTTGCAGTACAAACAGAGCTTAAAAAACTTTTAAACATGCTCATTATGTAAACTGCACACAGTTGTAATAAAATATATAGTTGACAAAGAAACTGATATATAACATTTGTTATACAAAACAATTTAATGTAATAAGATCTGAAAGACAATGAAGCTGATAAAAAGGAATGTCGTTATTATGTACATGAGTTATTAAGTGTAAAATATAAGTTCAGGAATTTGTCCTTCATCAGTAGATGTTCCATTATTATCTCCAGTCTCAATACTAAATTCAAACTTAACTTTTCCATTCCCTGAATCACTATCCACCATGACTGTTTTTAAACCCTTAGTTCCAAAATGAGAATAGGGGCCCTAAAATAGAATGCACAATGATAATCAACGTAAGAATACATTAAAAATAACTATCATATACCGACCTTAAATGTTGCTGATGCAGTGTAAATTGTATTTGGTAAAATTTCTGCTAACTCTTTAAACATTAATCGATAAGTGTATTTTGAACCATCACAGCTGAAACTTGTTGAATTTGTAGCAATCACCTTTCCAGAAGCAGTATGTATCAATTCTATTAATACTTCGTATATAGCAGAGCCATGCATACTACCATAGACACCATAGCCAATAAGAAATATGCGTCTATCAACGCTAAATCTAAAAAAGAAGAATCTATCTAAATTATATAAAATACTATAAACATGAAATTCTCTTTACGTTTTGTCTTGAAAATCACCTTATACGGTCACTTGTCCCATTGTATCCCCATCTACTTTTGGTATGTTGAAATCTGCATACAGTTTGTTCTTTACCAGTCATGCAACAGCGAGGCATTGTTTGAAATCCTACCACTGGTTTGGGATTTAATATAAAATATGAGAATAAAGAAAGAACCTAAAACAAATAGTTTTTAAATAAGTAATTTCATAAATATATATAGGATATATATTAAATGATACAATTGATACTAGCTTCTGAATAATTAAGAAGTCCAGATTTTGCTGGGCCAGCTGTAAATTCTTCTTTTGACATTAAGGGAAAACGAATCAATGAAAAAGCACTACCCAAAACAAACCGCTGATTTTCTGGGGTAACTGGTAAACGATGCCTTACACATTCTGCTTCTGACCATCTATTCAGATGAAATAACAAATAATTATACATACGCATATTCATCAAATATCAGATGCTTCATATATAATACTGTTCTACCTTAAAACTGCTTGAAATATTTTAGATTCTCTAACACGAAGGGTGTCTCTTTCCAAAACAATTTTTAATGTATCAATATCAATATCTGTAAATCCATCTGCATTTAAAGCTTCTGTAGTAAATCTATCAATAGTATCCAAACATACTGCAGCCAGTTGTGATTCATCAAAAAGTCGAGCTTGCGTTAAGAGCAAAAATGCATTATCACTGGTTAAATTATTTTTCAAATAATCCACACAGTGCTTTTCTAAAGCAGACACTGCATACTTTTTAGCTGTATATAACGTAGTCATCACAGTTTCAGGATCTATCTGTATCTCATCTGTATATAAAAAAAGAAGTACTGCCAAGAAAGCAGCAGGTTCTACATCAGGTACTTCTATTTCCGAAGAAGCTGTTGCAAGTGTTCCATTAAACATTGCATCAAAAACGGCACTTCCAGAAGACAAGACTAGTTTATGAGCTGGTATACGCTGCTTTTGTACTCCCCTTCCTACTATGAAGCTTACGTCCGACAATATTTCATTGTTAAAAAGAAAAACAATTCTTTCACGCATTGTTGCTTTTGTACCTTGCCAATTATAAGCCACTGTTGCCTGACCATTCGTAGAAGTACTTTCCAAAGTAGCAGTATCTTGAGATATTCCTACCAAATGCAACGTATTTGCTACATTTGTTGGAGGCCTACTAAAAAATTAATATCAAGAAAATTATGAAAATGTTGTTTATAGAAGTATTATAATAGTAATTGATTTAAAATTGATCACTTTTAAGAAACACGAAAGATTTATTAAAGTACTTACTTATCACCATTCGATGATGAAGACTCTCCAGCTCTTGCTGTTGATGAAGTTGATTGATCTTCATCGCAAACGAAATTAAGCGCACGTCTGGCACGTGAAAGGATAACATTGCCAATAGGTTGGGTATTTCGTACAGGTTCTGGAGACGAATCGCCAGATACGACGAGATTTACATTCTGTTGAAGTTCGTCACCGTCTTCTTGACTTAAGCGCAAATTATGCAGTCTTGACACGACAGTTGGCACATCGCTCAAGGGAGATTCCGAGGACATTTTCACACAATGAAACGGATTATTTTTGATGTATTATCCCGTTTCATCGAAATATTCCGAATCGTGTCAACAAAAGCGGCACGATCATTCACATCAGTTCGTTGGTCTTGTTGCGCTCATTTAACGTTCTGCACAAATGAATATCAAAGAATTGGACATGATAGTATTAAAATAAATGATTAAAAACTAGAAATGTCATTGTATAGACAAAATTTTTTCACCTGTTCACTGGCAGGTACCACTCATAATGGCTACATACATGTGCTTTGGCGAATGGCACTGAAATAAATTCTGCTTGCTAGATTGCCAGTTGCCACAGACTATACCGTAGCGTCCGTATCTATTACGACAGGATATTCATGCATAGGTATTCGATCGCTTATAGTATAGTCAGTGCATCTACAACGCAAATACATACTTACTCTATTCAGAAGTACGTAATGAAATCAATGCAATTAACATTTACTCGAGATAAACTTTCATGAATTTTTACATGATGTTGATAATTATTTCTATATTTATTAGATAACAAACAAAAGAACGAGATGTTGAAAACTGTTATCTACGTAATTGACTCGTGGTTTGCAAATATAGTTCACGTTATTTCTTGCAGAGGACGCTGTAGGTATTAAGAATACAATGGATAATTTTTTGATTCATTAAAATATTATATTATATTCTAATATTAATGCTAATTTTGTAAATATGAATAGTTTATCAAATTTACTGCAAATATAATAGACTCACTAGTTACAATCATATCTTATAATATCTTCGCAACGTTTTAAATACAAACATTTTAGAATCCACTGAAAGATTCACGCTTGGTCAAGGATTGTAATTGTTCGCTCCCGCGATGTGTGATTGAAGGGGATAGATTGATGACGATTGACTGATTGTGATTTTTTAATATATTCACGCACAAAATTAGTGTGTGTATGTGTACAGAAATGCGCAGCGATGTTTTTATCATATGTACTTAAATGGTTTTGCGACGTATGAAGCAATTAGGGAGCAATTTATAACAATTTAACTTGACTTTTCTGAGATATGATTGCAGTTTCGCTAAAATGCACTGTTTCAGCATTTTTAATTGCACGTTCATTTTCATTGCACGTTATGCCTTTAGAAAAGGTATCGAGGCTGGATTCAGTATTATGCGGAGATGTACGTCAAAGTGGTAGAATGTACATCCCTGTGGAATATCCGATGGAGTATAAGTGTATGAGTTATATCTCAGGAACCATTAGTTACCATAAGGTCTCAGCTATTGAGCTGTGGAAAAGTACTGTGAGGAAGTTAAAAATACATGATACTGCGAATCCATTAAATTACTTATGTACTTTTGTCATAGTACATTAGGGTCGTAGCAATAAAATTTCATTTTTCCGATTGTTCTTGGTGGCATAAATCTGCCCGGCCTAACGGAATTTTCGGTACATCGCGTTGTAACGCGTTATAATCAACACATATATTTAATAAATTAACTAATAAAGAATTTGTAATAGAAAAAAGAAAATATGATTATGAATAAAAATGTAAATCAATTACTGCATTCAGCGCGGGAAGAGAAATAACGAATACTTTTATAACAATTGTATTAATATCATTTATGTACAATGTATACATGGCATACAGAAAACAAATCTGTAAGCCTAATGCTTGATTATAATACATGAGTGTTATCAAGTTGAAACCACTTGTTAGAATATTAATACGACAACTACAGTGATAGAAAAAGAGAATATGCTTATTGGAAAGGTTCCTCGCTAATTAAACGTACGACGTAATTTACTATGGTACATTCATAAATATGTTAAACTAAAAAAACTGGTATTATAATACGTTCATTATTTAATCTAATTAATACGATTTTAACTATTTAAGTACAACATTCTCGAACGTTTTTAGTTCTAAATGTAAAAGTTATTTGTCTTATAATTTATACATTACACTAATATAACGCATAAAAGCGTATTTATGTTAATGTTTATGTACTTTTCTATATGTACAAAATGACAGATAAATCAGTAAAGTTTTATTAAAATAATGGCAGCTTTCTATTTGTAACGTATGCGTTAAATTAATGTAAACTTTTTGTCTATATATATGTTTAAAAATTATCTTCTCGTATAAAAGTACCTATATATCATCATACGTAAAATAAATTCTACATATCCTGTAACTTATATTTTAGATTATACAATAAGTTTCTATTCTTTTCTTCTTATCATATATTCAGATTTATTAATAATCGTCATGGTTACTAGCTAATGCAACGTTTTGCTCGTTGCACCCTCTAATTCTTCTAGTCAGTGCTTTAAAAGATAAAACAGACTTAATCGCTTAATTAAATAGGGTTTTATTACGTTAAATAAATTTAAGCAGTTTCTTGTTTGGTTCTCGTTATCCATATATAACGAATCATATCTATCGCAGATCTATGAAACATAATACGTTATACCTTACAATTAGAGATAAAATCTATAAATATAAAATCTACCTCTCCTCTCTAACTTAAAAATAAACGTAACTTTAGAATGTACATGCATTATAGGAGCACACTATAATAACTGGCCGCGGGTGAAAATGAAAATATTTCCTAAATGTTAAATACAAATTTAATCGAGACATTCGTCTGCTACTAATACAAGACAATGTATCAAGTACGCTTCCTCTTTAGCATACGATTACATTTCTGAAATTACAATAACAATTTAGAAAACGCAGATATTCAAACATCTTTCACGTTCAACTCTTTGAATCGTAATATCAGTCTATCCACTATTTATTCATTCGAAGGAGATTCTACTGACTTTGTTGTACTACTACACTTTATATTTCACCATTATCTAAAAATATCAATCTTACTAAAAATAAGCGGAATACAGTTTGGCGGAACCTCCTCTCTAGAACCTTATTAATATCTTATCATACTCTTGAATTAGTTTGTTATCTACTTATATGTATATAATAAATACGATAATAGAATCGTTCTAAAATAATAACTATCGTCGATGATCTATTGTTAGAAACGATACAAGCTTCCATCAAGGCACTTTTAACGTAAAAAAAAAGTACTTTTAACGATAATATTCAATCCTCGTTAAAAGAGAGAACCCTTCCATTGGTAACATTTTAATCCTGTACAATCCGAAAAACGAATACTCTCCATGTCACATTAGATTTTGCATCGGTTTGGAACGCGTTTCGATCGGATCGCAATCTTCTTTTTATCGGTGGTATCGCGTGCACGGAGGTAGAGGGATCTGTTCTGATCCCATGGTAATACAGATCTCAGGTCTCCGAATCCAAATCTTGGTCCCTTAGCTTGCTCTTCTTGTACTTCTTCTTTTTCTTCGGTTTCGGCATGACCTCGCAGCTGCACCCACTTCGCACCTTAATGTAGTCCAACGTCCACATCGATCCACCCACCGTGTTCCCGGGAAACGTAGGGATCATGCGTTCTCTGTGCCGATGCCTCCCGCGTTCCTCCTTTCCGCCCTGTGAGCAGAACACGTTCTTCAAGTGGATAATATATTCTTTTACATTAAAGTCGTGTTGACTTGCCGAAACCTCGGCAAGAACAAGAACAAGAATAGCTAGTTTTACACTTTCGCTATGATACTCTAAGAACTGATGATATTTTTGGCATACAATTTGAAGTAGTTTCTGTTCATACTAATATCTACATATATGTATTATAATAATTGTCTGTATAATATAAAGTTACTGTTTTTGAGATGATTAGATCGATGACTGTACTGATGAAAACTGATTCCCATTCATCCTATTTTCTTCCATCGAGGAAAAACGTGGACAATACTGTCGTTGAAAATAAGGACAATTTTTTAATCGATTTTAAAGTTTAAATTTGTTCTCCGATCTACCGTTAATCGAACCTTTTAATCGCAATAATATTAACACCAAATCAGTTTCACTACCATTGTAAAGATAGTAAATAAATTAAAAAAATATATGTATAATAATAGACGAATTAGATTCTTTTAATCTCTGGCTCCATTTAGTAAAAATCGCTCGAAATACGTATCACGGGTAACGAACACATCGCACAGCATCGACAGAATAGACGCACTCGCGAAAGCCTAATGGAAACTAGATCAGGATCACTTTACATTACGTACCGTCGATCCAGAATTTTCAATGATAGCGTAAGTGTATGAGAACTTCTGCACACATCTGGACTGGTTGGTGAACTTCCGGTCGATGAACCTGCACGGCTTGTCGAGGACGTCTGGCCTGCAGGAGTACTCGAAGAACCTCTGGGCGTTCTGACCATCCCGATACAGCTGGACGTACATGTTTTCCCGATTTCGACCGCCGACCGGTTCCACCATTTCCTCTACCGTAGGGCAGCAATCAACTGGAAGGCCGTCCTCGCCTCCTTCGTGTCGTAGAATCATGTTCATCTCTCGATAAGTCATCCGCTTGGTCGTGTCCTCAAAGGTCTGCGTCCTGCAACATTCAGATGACATTTAGACAAGATTCAAACAGCCATCGAAATTTCACTGAGCTATGATAGGAACTAGAAAAAGTTGAAGGCCGGTCGAAGAATTTAAAACCGGCGAGAATGCACACCATTCGAAGCAAAACCAATCGAAGAACTTGAAACCATCGAGGCTTCGCTACGAGCTATGCTACGATACGAAGAAGAGAAGCACGACGACCGATCAAGGAATTTAAAACTCGGGAGAATGCGTAACATTTCAAAGCAATGGCAATCGAAGAACTTGAAACCCGACAGAGAACGCATAACATTTCACGCGTGCTTCTAAAAGCAAATGACTCGTGTCTAAACTACACGCGACAGAATGTAGCATAAGACAAGTGAAAAAGCCGCTCGAGAACCGATAATTCGCCCCTAATTCCGTATTCACCTGTCGAACCTCTTGTACGAGTCATTAATAATAATTAAGACAGTTCGTGACAGACAGGATAAATAATGGCGTAGCGTCGTGGAGCGTAGGAGATATACGGGCGCCACGGTTGCTGATTGAAAATTGAAATTCAGCCGTGCAAAATAGTGTCACTGGCGTGTCGATATAATTTGCGAGCGCGATGCCAAGCTTGAATGATGCCAAGGTATTTCGTCGTTCGTTCTGTCAACCGTATTCTCGATCGTATCGTCGATCGTTTTACGATACACATAGTATGTCTTACAATAAAATTAGTATATCTCTGTTAGAAGAACACGCGTTTATTGATATTATAATAACGAAAAGGAGAGAAGTAGCGAGGAAAGTGAAAACTTACCAGCGAGAGATATGTCCCCTGAATGGATGTTGCCTGGCCTTACGAGACGAGAAGGATAAAGTCAAGTTGTTGGCGGCAGCAAGCCGCGGGCACAGGACTGCGGTCAGCCAAACCACCTGCAAGAGAAAAGAAAAAGTTCCATTGAATCTCTAATTTATCGTTGGTTCGGTGTGAACGTTCAATGAAAGTGCTCGAAGTTTATATATAAATTAGTTTCAATGGAATTTGTTGAAAATTCATTTTTTTAAGAATCTCGAAATAAATACACGAGAAGATAAGGATAAGCCAATTAAATTCTTTTATACATTCCGA